CTTTCTTTATTTTCCATGTAACTATGCAGCTTCTGCTATTAATGCACAATCTCGCTCAAGATTCTTAGAACACTGCTGGAGACAGCTGGCAACTCAAGGCCGTTTGTTTACTATAGCACGTAGTAAAAATTATTAATAATTGTAAAAGTGATCGGTGATTGGTTACTTAGTTCCCTGTTGTTTATATTAATGGTTGGGCTTTGTTGTTTCGTATTATATTATACTACGTACTATAGTAAAAAAACGGCCTTAAGTTGCCAGCTGTCTCCAGCAGTGTTCTAAGAATCTTGAACGGGACTACATTTTCTACTTGTACCATGAATCTAACTCTGGCTTGTCTACTCTCAATCTCCCATTCTCATAGCAACGTCTACCACTCCTTATCTTCTTTCATCTAACTCTCTCATTGAACCATCTCTCTACCCTCCCCTTATACTATATCGTAATAATTTCTCACTAAATATCTTTCTATGCATACTCAAACTGATTTATTAAACTTAGCTGTTACATAGTCCTTGTTCCAAGTTGTATCATCCAGTGTTCTTCCACATATATGTTACAAAATATACTTGAGAACATCTTGGACAAATGCACTACTTCAACCTTAAACCTTAAACCTTAAAGCTTAGACAGCTACAAGTTTAAACAGCTACCAAATTTAACTGCTGCAGATTTAAACAGCTCCATGTTTAAAATTGATGCACAATTAAACGGCTGCACAGTTAAACGCCTGAAAGTAATAATTATTTACAGTACCTGATATATACAGCATAAATAATAATTCACTTTAAATCATTAAAGTTCACTTTACACAGGATTCATTTAAGTAGTTAATTCACATAAATAAACAATTTAAATAAATCATATTAAACAATCAACTAATAATTTAATCTTTCACTGTCCATAAAAAGACTATAATATCTTTCACATATTCACTGTTAAATAAAATATAACTAATTACTTACTGTATAAACATTAAAAGATTCATCGCACAATGACATCATAATAATAATAAAGGTTTATTTTGTTTATTAAAGATTATCATATAAATTTTACTGTTTCGGTCATAAAAATCACTTATCATATGTTAATTCTGCATTATACCACTGATCAAAATAATAGTTATCTTACCATCTCCTGGGTTTTCAAACTTCTTTGAAAATAACCATATATTTGTTTTAACTTTAATTTAAATAAACTTTTAACTCTTAAAACTCTTAATGACTTAAGCATTCGAAAGATTGGTCGAATTGTCTCACTCTAATACAGGTCAACTATTCCTTCTCACAATCTTACATTATATGAAGAAGTCTGAATTATTTGTAAGTGGTCCAGCATATCATCATGATCTTCAAACATTAATCTATTTGCAATTAACATTTACAAATATTATATTTCACATCTACTGAGAAAAGTAGTATGTAATACAATAACTTACAAACTTTTCACAAGATATTCATTTACTTCAACAAATATTCATTGAGTTACAAAATTTTAGAACTCACCAATCATTTGAAAATGATTATCAATCATTAATCTTCCTACAATATTTCAGATTAACGAACAATCAGGGACAATTTCACAATTTAAGTATTTACCATAATATTTGCTTAGAAGCTGAGATCAGCATAATATTACCATCCTCTATATGCCAATTCTCTTTCATTTTAGAGGGATAACTAAACGAATTCTATACTCATATTTTGGGACAACAGGAAATTCAGTTTTGATATAAATTTAGCAAAACGATTCAACCTCGATACACTACTGTTAATATGTCTTTGTCCTCTACAACTAAAATGCCTATTCCCTTTCTACTGTTATTCTTCCTCTCCTTGTGCTTCAACTGTCAATCCACCACTCTCCCTCTTTTAATTTTAATCTACCTTTACCCATTTATTATGAATCTACCCATCATATTTCTACCAACAATCTTCCCCTTACCTTATACCATCTATATACCTTTCCCACTTATACAATGAATCTACCTACCACTTTTTACCATTACTCTACTTTTTTTAAACGTAGCCTCCAGCCTCCCCCAATAGCCACACCTTCGCCGCCATTTTATTACCTTAATATTAGATATCCTAATACATAAGTAGCTATCCTATCTGTGTTGAATTAGTTGAGCCGCAGATCTATGCGGCATTCAGTGACTTATCACTTTATACTATCAAATCTACCCCTCCTTATGTCATCACTCTGTAATCTCTAGTACCATCAATCTACCTATTCCCTTATACTATCAATCTTCCTATCCCCATATATCATCAATATACCTATCCCATTATACCATCAATCTACATATCCCCTTATCCCCTTATACCTTTAATCTACCTTTCCCCACATACCATAAATCTACCTATCTCCATATACCATTAATCTACCGATGCCCTTATACCATCAGTCTACACATTCCCTTATATCATCAGTCAAACATATCCCCTTATACCATCAATCTACCTATCCTTTATACCATCAGTCTACATATTCCCATATACCATCAGTCTACATATCCCCTTATACAATCAATCTACCTATCCCTTATACTATCAGTCTACATATTCCCATATACCATCAGTCTACATATCCCCTGATGCACTCAATCTACATATCCCCTTATACTATCAATATACCTATCCCCTTATACCATCACTCTACATATCCCCTGATCCCCTTATACCAACAATCTACATATCCCCCTTATCCCCTTATACCATCAATCAACATATCCCCTTATCCCCTTATACCATCAGTCTACATATTTCCTTATACCATCAATCTACATATTCCCTTATCCCCTTATACCATCATTCTACATATTCCCTAATATCGTCAATCTACTGTACATATACCCTGATCCCCTTATACCCTCAATCTACATATCCCCTTATCCCCTTATTCCATCAGTCTACATATCCCCTTATACCATCAATCCACATATCCCCTTATCCCCTTATACCATCAGTCTACATATCCCCTTATACCATCAGTCTACATATCTCTTATACCATCAGTCTACATATCCCCTTATACCATCAGTCTACATATCCCCTTATACCATCAGTCTACATATCTCTTATACCATCAGTCTACATATCTCTTATACCATCAGTCTACATATCCCCTTATACCATCAATCCACATATCCCCTTATACCATCAATCCCACACTTCCTTATGCCATCAATCCCTGTCCCTTATCCCTTATACCATCAGTCTACATATCCCTTATACCATCAGTCTACATGTCTCTTATACCATCAGTCACATATCCATATACCATCAGTCTACATATCATATATGCCATCAATCTGCATATCCCTTATACCATCAATCCATATCCCTTGTCATATACCATCAGTCTACATATCCCTTATACCATCAGTCTGCATATCTCTTATTCACCATCAGTCTACATATCCCTTATACCATCAGTCTGTATCCTTTATACCATCCAGTCTCACATGTCTCTTATACCATCAGTCTACATGTCCCTTATACCATCAGTCTACATGTCCTTATGCCATTAGTCTACATGTCCTTACATCAGTCTACATATCTCTTATACATCAGTGCCACATCGCTTATACCATCCAATCCACATATCCTTATCATATGCCATCAGTCTACATATCCCTTATACCATTTAGTCTACATATCATATACCATCAGTCTACATGTCTCTTATACCATCAGTCTACATATCCTTATACCATCAGTCTACATGTCTCTTATACCATCAATCCACATATCCCCTTATCCCCTTATACCATCAGTCTACATATCCCCTTATACCATCAGTCTACATATCTCTTATACCATCAGTCTACATATCCCCTTATACCATCAGTCTACATATCCCCTTATACCATCAGTCTACATATCTCTTATACCATCAGTCTACATATCTCTTATACCATCAGTCTACATATCCCCTTATACCATCAATCCACATATCCCCTTATCCCCTTATACCATCAGTCTACATATCCCCTTATACCATTAGTCTACATATCCCCTTATACCATCAGTCTACATATCTCTTATACCATCAGTCTACATATCCCCTTATACCATCAGTCTACATATCCCCTTATACCATCAGTCTACATATCCCCTTATACCATCAGTCTACATATCTCTTATACCATCAGTCTACATATCCCCTTATACCATCAGTCTACATATCTCTTATACCATCAGTCTACATATCCCCTTATCCCCTTATACCATCAGTCTACATATCCCCTTATCCCCTTATACCATCAGTCTACATATCCCCTTATACCATCAGTCTACATATCTCTTATACCATCAGTCTACATATCCCCTTATCCCCTTATACCACCAATCTGCTTATCCCTTAATACCATCAGTTTACTTTTTCCTTTATGCCATCAATCTTCATATCCCTTTATCCCCTTATACCATCACTCTACTCATACCCTTATCCCCATATACCATCAGTCTACATATCCCCTTATACCATCAGTTTATAAATCTCATTATACCATCCGTCTACATATCCCCTTATACCATCAGTCCACATATTCCATTATACCATCAATCTGCCTATCCCCTTATATCATCAATCTACCTATTCCCTTATACTGTCGATCTATGTATCCCCTTATACCATCAATCTCCATATCCCCTTATCCCTTTATACCACCAATCTACATATCCCCTTATCCCCTTATACCTTCGCTCTACATATTCCTTTATCCCCTTATGCCATCAATCTACTTATCTTCTTATGCCACCAATCTACCTATTCACTTCTACCTAGCCCCTAATTCCATTAACCAACCGATCATCAAATGGGCCGCTGCAAATGTTTTGTATCAAGGTAGGAGCATGGCACTGTGTTGACAAGTATTTTGACCATTTGTTTCTAAAGATTTCTTTCTTTACATATTTTGAACAACTTCATTGTTTATTCCACTCACGATCTTTAATCTACATAATATTTTTCATTAATAATCTGATTTTGAAATGTGGATGGCAAAAGAGGACACAGAAGTTAGTAGAGAATATGCTGTTTTACTGGACAACCATACTCAAGGTATATTTACATTTATCACACCAGAATGTCCTTTCTCTTCATCAGATCATCAGCAACCAGGCTCGATTTGACCAGGGTTCTTCTGGGCTGAGTCTCTCCCTGTTCAACTTGGAACCTCTGAGAGACTCCCTCGTCCACTTTTCCCTCTCTCACAATGCCATCTCCGCCTTCCCTGAGCAATTCTCCAGATCCTTCACAAGGCTTGCCATCCTTGACCTGTCCTTCAATAATATCTCAGGTTAGAGCTGATTCTGTTGTCTTATGATGCGTAGGGCACCTTCGACCGTTCAGTAGACTAACAAACTCGTGTCTTTTCTCGGGATTTTAAAGGATAGCTGTATTCTCGCTCAGTCACTTCTTAGAGATGTAAATGAATCCCCAGTAATAACGCAATAAAATTCTTTATTACTAGAACTGGCATAGTGAATATCTTTATTGAATATCTTAAGTCAAACATTTCTCAATAGCTGTATTAAAATTATAAGCTGAATTAAAAGTTGTGATCTCATTTTCTGAATACATTTACCTACTTTGATACATGAAAACAATCGTTAAAGTTTGATTATAGCTTCAAAATGATTTAATATGTTTAATTTATTCTTACACAACAACGTATGGCCATTGTAAGCTTACTTTGCCACCATTGCCACCATTAAAGTTTCCATAATATTCACGGTGTATCACCCAGCTGTGTATACACGTTTTCGTTTAGCTGTTGTTTTTTGTATTTGTTATGACATTTTGGGTTTTTGTGAAATTGATCATCCCCATAAGTATTCTAACAAAATGTGAAATTTCACCATTCTACTACCTTGTGGTTACAGGCATCTTGAGTTGAGTCAATTAAGTATGCACCTAAGTATAGCGGATTACCTCCTGTACAAGTTACGGTACTCCTCTCTAGCGTGGATCTACTTGATCCTGCTACTGCAACTTCACCTCGTGTGACCTGTCAGGCTCCATTATCCAGTCGGAGAATCTAACAGTATAGACTCTAGACTGTGACTTAAAATGCATAATTTATCAGTCTAGCATTACAATTATAAATCCGTTTTTTAACTCAAGGAACTAACTATTGATAAGTTCACCTTGATTTACATTATGCGTAATATAAATACCCATTTTTGCATTATACTAACAGAATTCCATAGCACATAGACAATATCTTGCTTTATACAATTGCGTCGTAATCTTTAACATCAAATCAGTAAATAACTACTTTCCACCAGTCTGCTCCGACAGCTTTGCAAAACATTCACCAACAGATCTTCAAAATATATAGAAGGTACGATTCTGTGTGACTTATAGTATTCGAAACTATAAAGCTCTAAAATAGTCGTTTAGCAATACGACACACAGTTGAGGAAATGTTCCTACACCCCATTGGAGCAACGTCACAAGTGGAGTTCCCAAAGGCTCAGTACTTGGACCACTATTATTTATTATATACATAAACGACATAGATATCGGAAACGGAAAACGGACACAAAAACGACATATGCCGCCATCACAGAGATGGAAAACTAAATCCACTGGCCAAGTTCTCAGTGCGGCCCAACCTAAAGGGGGAGATGATTATTCACCACAAAGACAAGGACTCCGCCACCACCCTCGACACTTACCTGCAAAACACCACCACCGTTGCATCAACCAAGCTGGACCCAGCCCAGAAACTGATGAAGTCGGTAGTCCTCCGGTACCCAAAGGAACTACCCCTCGAACCCCTGGAGAACCACCCGAAGATCCTAAAAGCCGAGAGATGCTCTCCCCCGTCCGACAAGACGGCCACAACAAAACAAGTGCTCATAACGCTTTACGGTTCACCCCCCAGCACCATAGACCTCAAAACCTGGGGGATCTACGAAGTGAGGCCCTTCGTCCCAGAGCCCCTGCGGTGCTTCAGATGCCAGAAATACGGGCACCATCAGACAAGGTGCACGTACAAGGAAATCTGCGCAGTCTGCGCACAGAAGCACGGCACACACTCCTGCCTCACAAAGTTGAAAAATGGAGAAAAAATTGCCCCCAAGTGTGCCAACTGCGGGGGCAAACACCACGCCTGGATCCCTGGATGCTCCGAGAGGACAAAGAGGGTCCAGGCAAACCGACCAGCAGCAAGACCGGCCCCCACCGCCTGCACACCAGCCCCACCAAGTACCTTCGTGTGGGGAACCCAAAGGCCAAAACAACAAAGCCAACCTCCTCAGCCGGTCAACACCCAAAGTGCAGCCCAGTTTCCTGGCCTCACTACGGCCACACCTCAGCCACCCAAGCAGCAGACAACGACAACCACGAAAAAGACAAAAGAAGCACACACCAAGGCACCAGAAGGAATGATACACGTATCAGACCTAGCCAAGGTACTAACAACCTTCGTGGAGGGCCTAGCCGGACTACTGGGCCACAAGATCCAACCCACACAGCTCCAAATACTCGTGGGGAGCGTCCTCGGGCAAGTCGCCACAGCTCCAGCCACCTCAGTGGAGGAAGCCACGCCGGTCCTCACACGAGTGACAGCCGAGGTACATTCTACACCGAAAAAGGCCACCAGAGAACCCAAGATACCGACAGCTCCCAGAAAGAAATTGGACGTTTCAACTCCCCTGAACCGAACCACGGCCCAGAAGGCAAAAAACACAGAACAAGAAGATATGAACCTGATCCAGTCGGAATCGGACCTGAACATTTCCATCGAGGACCACCAGAAGTCCCCGATGAAACAGTGGTGGAAAACATCAGCACCCTGAACATCCTTACATGGAATGCTCAGGGCATCAAAAACAAGAAACACCTCCTGCAAGAAGCAGCAGCCAAGGACAAGCTTGACATTATACTGCTACAAGAAACATTTCTACAAGAACACCACTGTTTCAAATTCAGTGGTTACAAGACATACAGGAGGCATTTCACGCAGGCGTTAACAAGAGGATGTATGATCTTGGTCAAGTCAAGCATACCCTCCTCCGAGGTCATGCAGCAATTTCCATGTGAGGAAAACATCGAGACACAGGCCGTCAAAGTAACCCTCCAAGAACGGGAATTAACTGTTCACAACATCTACAAGAACCCAAGGGGCTCACTGGAGGTGACTCAATTATTCGCTTCGGCCGCTGACCACGCCACACTCATAGGAGGGGATTTCAACGCACATCATCTTAGGTTGGTTGGTTATACGGAGAGAAGAGAGCACTAGCTCTGAGAGTGCAAGAAGGGTACAGTACAAGGTAAAGTTAAGAAGTGGGAAATAGAGGAGGAAGTTAACAGCAGGTGGGCTATCCACCTTGCGGAGAAGGGTTTTTTTTGTCTTCCGTCAACAGTGCTGCCTTAGTGGTTCATGCGGTTAGGGAAGGCCGGTCTCAGCCAAGCTAAGCTAAGTTGTTCTATTTGATGTTTCCTTGGGGCATATTGTGTTAGGGGGGGGTCCCTCCAGGTCCTTGTGGCACTGGAGGGATGATCTCCATCTTTTTCGTTTTTATTTATTTATTTATTTATGAATTTATTTATTTATTTTTTTTTTTTTGGGTGTTTGTGAACTATTTAGTTCTTTGTTTATTTGTGGGGTCCCTCCGGGTCCTTGTGTGACTGGAGAGTTGTGCCCATCTTTTGGTTCTTTTTTATTGTGTATATAGAGGCTCTGGTTCTTCGTTATCATTTTTCCTGCTTCTAGGCCACCATCTGTGCGATGTGTTGTTGTTTTCCTCAATTAGTTGGTTTAGTATGGGATCCTGTTCTTGCTGGATTTTTTCCCATATTGCATTTGCTTGGGTGTGTATTCTGGTGTTGAGTGGGTCTATGCCGTGTTCTGTGTGTATGTCTTGTGCTGTTTGTGTGTATGGTGGTTGGTGTTTTGCCGCTCTTCTGAGGGCTATATTTTGCACTGCTTGAAATTTAAGTTGATTTGTTCTTGCGATTGTGTTCAGAGGTATCGGAGGGTATTCTAAGTGTGGTCTGATCAGTGCTTTGTATAGGTGCAATTGCGTGTTGGTGTTTAATTGGCGGAATCTTCTGAGCTTTGTAAGTTGTGATTTTGCCATAGCTATTCTTTCGTTGATGTGGGGGATTATTCCGTTTCTGGTTATCTTGAGTCCTAATATTTTTCCGTTGGCAGCATATGGTATTTGTTGGTTGTTGACAATAATAGGGTAGGGGTTTGTTTTTGCGATGTGAATTATTTTGAGTTTTTGGACATTGGTTTTTATCTTCCATTTTCGTTCATAGTTGTTTATTATCTCTATTTCTCTGCTTGTTCTAATGGCCATCATTTGTTTGGATTTTCCGGGTACCTGACTATCTGTGTGACATCATCTGCGTATGCTATATATTCTGATTGCCGTGGTTGCGGCATGTCTGCTGTGTATACAGTGTATAATGTCGGCGATATATTACTGCCTTGGGGAACTCCACTATGAAGGTTAAAAGTTTGTCCTAGATGGTTGTCGATGATTAATTTGGCCTTTCTGTTGTCTAAGAAATTGCATAGTAGTGTTGTGATATTGGTAGGCATGTCCAATTTGATTATTTTCAACTTCAGTCCTTCATGCCAGACTTTATCAAATGCTTTTGACACATCTCTTAGAATTATATTACATTGGTCTCTGTTGCTTGCAGCATTTGCAATTGATTCGTATATTAGTGCTATTGCTGTGTTGGTTCCTCGATTTTTCCGAAAGCCGTGCTGTCTCGGGTTATATTTGTTTTCTTGGTCTAGAAAATTTCTAAGTCTGTGGTTGGCTATTTTTTCCAATATTTTACCGGGTGTTTCCAGTAGTGAGATAGGTCTGTAGTTCTCTGCTTGGGTATGGTTCTTTCCCGCTTTCGGGATGAGTCTGATTTTGGCTATTTTAAATTTGGTAGGGAAGAAGCCAGTTGCAAGTGAGGCATTGTATATATTTTTAAGCTGTTCGATCATAGACTGAGGAATGTTTTGTAGTACGATTTTATTAATTTGGCTTATGCCAGGTGCTTTGTTCTTGAAGCTTGCTATTGTTTTTTCAATATCATTTTGAGTTAATGGAACAATTATTGGGTTATTGATGTTTAATGAATTGAGGTTGATTTTCCTGGTAGGTTTCCATTTTTCTGTGTTCTGGCTCAAATATGTTCTAGTTGCCTGTTCTGTTTCTTGGCAGAAGCTTCTATTGTCTTCGTCGTTGATTCTGAATATGTCTTTCCAGTATTCTCTAAATATTGGTTCTTTATCGTGTGGTTCTGTTGCCTTTCTACCGTTTTTGTCCTTTA